GTTGGGAAGGAAATTGGCTACTTAAGATACCTTTTTGTACATTTAAATTAACTTAGTCCATCAGACTGAATGAAACCCATTGCTGCATTAACATCCAATTATAACGGCAGAGATTGAGCAATGATTCACATTTTTACCAGAATGTTGGCAGTTTAAGGAGAAAAAAAAGGAATGTATATTGAAATAAAAAAGTCAAAAATGGGAGCCAGAAAATTATGACTGAGCACATAGCAGGAGCTTTTGTGAATGTATAATCGCAGAAGCAGGAGCCAAATTCCTAACATGATTAGCTGTTACTGTCTATCAGATCCAAAACCTCAATCATCTTGTTTTAAATGACTTTGTGTAACTCATTCACACTAGAAATAGAGGATGCAAGTGAGACTAGGAGTTGCGCCGCTAAAGAAGCTGTGGTTTGGAATTTAGACTAGATCAGAGGTGAGGACAGCTGTGGTTTCGTGAGAAAAGCCCCAAAGTCATATATATTAGGTGAGCTCTGAACCGGGCAGCAGTTTGGAGATTTTATCAGATTTTTCAAGATGTCCTTGTGAGCCACAAACTCATGAACTATTTCTTTGGGGACCTCTGAATACAAGTATTGATGAAATGAAATGTCTCTTCAAGTCCTGCTAAGAAGCTGGACATGCTCATCAGTTTCTTACTGTCCTTGATAATGATATTAGCTTCACTTACCACTTGTCTGACCCTGGCTGTGGGATTGCATCTCACTCCGGATAGCTGTGAGCTGGGCATAGTCAGGATGGTAAAGCTGCCTGAGAGAGATAGGTCTGGAAAAACTGGCTCTGCCAGCTACAGGTCCTGACCCTGCAGTTTCTTCTGCTTAAGGAAGGTGCTCGTGGTGAGGATCTCAGATCTTTCAAACTCCTAGTTGCACAGCAGTGATTTGGGAAAACCTGAGGTGGGCTGGCTGCTCTGCAAGGGCTGCCCTGGAGGTGAAGCCTCTTGCCCGTGTGGTCTGCTGTGGAGACGATGTGGAAGCACAGCAGCAACTAGCTCTTCAATAGGCATGTGGACAAGGACGTGCAGGAACCTTTTCTTCATTTCAGAGAAGGTGGAGCCTAAATGTTTTGTGTTTAATAAGTTATTGTTCAGCAGCCAGCTCTTTGCTAGGCTCCTTGCATGAGCTTGTTCAAATGTCTTAGGCCCATTGTCTTCAAAGGCATTTAAATAACACCTGCTTCAGCTGGATGAGGCCTCACGTTTGAGGCCTCATGTTTGAGGCCTCACGTATGAGGCTTCATATCGCATTGGTCAAATGGGCGTATATGCCTCATCTCTTTCTGCTGTAAGCCCTTAAAACAACAACAATCTCTTCTTACGTCAATACGCTGCTTTAGCACAGTGATCTAAAATATCAGGTAAGCTCTGAGTGCTGCAGGAATGTAAATGGCTCTAAACTGGTTTGCTCGTGCCCCAAAATGGAGAACACCTTGCCTTTTTTAGTCTTCCGTCTCCTGAGCCTTTGTTCAGGTTTGCATCAAAATGCTGCATCAAAGTTCTACTCAGATGAAAGACCAGTGGTAAGGGACTTCAGTGAGTGGTTGGGAAATAATCTTGAAAAGTTTGGTAGATTTTCCAAGGATGGAAGATTGGTGGCAGGAGTAATCACAGACTAGTTTACAATGGAGATTTCAACCTTCAGTGCTATCTGGTCCCTTCACCATTATGAGTGCAAGGCACTGTAATTGGGAGGTTGCCTGGACTTTTGTTTTTCAGATATTTTAGGGGCAGCATAAAAGTGCTCCCGGGGGGACACGAACAGTTCTCAAAACTTTCAATTTGCAAAGTGGAGCTGAATTAATTGCAGCTTATGTTCCAAAAGAAAATAAGAGCTCTGATGTGTTTTATATGCTTGATGTTCTTTTTCTTTTCAGCTGACAACCCCTAGGTGGCTTTCCTTTCAGTCGCAACTCCTTTATTTTCTGTGGTTTCTTCCTTTATTAATTAGAGGGCCTGACACCACAGCCCAAGACTTTTATCAGCACGGTATAATTTTAATTAATCTCACAATAAAACTACTTGAGTTGAACTCAGAAATGGTCGCATATGGCAGGAATAGCTCATGGCAGTGTGAATGGTGACACAGGATGTCGACCGCTCTGGCGAGCATGGGACGGGGCTTGGTGCAAGTTCAGGTTGTGTAGCTGTGTGTCTTTGGGACAATGAGTGTGTTCCTAAACAATATACAGACTATATCCTCTAGGAATGGAGCACCCTAAATACATTAAAAAGAAATCATGCCTGTAAAGGAAGATATGGATACCTAGTAGGCTGCCTCTGAGAGGAGTTAAAATATCTTTTGATGGCTAATTAAATAATCATAATGCCTATAATAATAATAAAATATAGGGACAGTTTTTTTCTTTTTGTCTTTTTATTTGTTTGTTTACATAGCAATTTGCAAGGAATTACAAATTTCAGTCCTCTAGGACTTCTTTCTTATTCACGAATCATAGCCACAAGTGGATTTTGACTTAGACCATTAGAACTCAAAATCTTTGGATGTCAGAAAAGGTCATGTTCTGATCTAAACTTCCTAACCAAGGTTCATATCTGTGAGGCAGATGTAAACTAGCTTAGAACCTGAGATTCAGAAAAATGTAGATCTCCAGATAATGAAAATAAATGGAACAGTACTACGTCTTGAAATCAGAGCAGTTTGGGTAGGAACTGCATAGCCAATCCCAGTTGCGTTCAGAGGTTTCTTCTTGTAAAGTGGAGATTACACAACCAATTTCAGCTGGATTAAAGAAGGGCAGATCTGTAGTCCTTCAGACCTCGGTTATCTACTGCTTCTACAAGTACTCTTGTGTTCGCAGAGGAGACATGGTCAAGCTGCATGTGACTAAGGAAAAATAACTCATAATATGGTTTTCCCAGATTGAACTAACAGGTGGAAAAGATCAACATAAAAATTGATAGGGTCTCCACCGCTTGAGGTCTTCATGTCAAAAGTCTATATCTTTCTGGGAAATGGATTGTAATGCACCACTGACTATTGGACTCAATATAAGTCTAAGTGAGTGAAATCCTGAAGAATACTGAAGTTTAAATTTGACAAACTGTTGATTCCTTCTTGCTCTAGTGTCTAAGGATGGTGGAACAATTATATTTATACCCACACGGTCTTAACTTTGGACGTTGTTGATATTTACATAAGTTTGCATGACTTGTTCTCTGTCTTGATCTTCCCATTTTCATTGCTTTGTTTTCTGCCCTGTCTGTCCTGAATAAGTTCCTATGGTCATGGCTGCAGATTAAATTTGAGCAACTTCTTTGAATAAAAGTTTCCAGCTTTTCTCTCCTTTTTTTTTTTTTACATTTTTTTCTTTGTCCTTAAAAACTTTCAGCAGCCATGGTCTGTTTCTTTGAGAGACTTAACATAGGCAATGGTACAACGGATGAACAAATCCCATCATAGTTAGTTATATTTGAAGTTTGCTAAAGCTACTGCTAACTGCTAAAGATAAAAATATCGATTTTCAGTGTTTTTGCACAGACTATCTACTACCATGTGGGGTGTCTATATAGGGTCTAGGAAGCCAGTTTCTAATACAAGCAGAAAAGATCTTCATAAATACTGTGAAATTTTACTTTTGATTCTTCTTGCTTCCTCTCCCTTCCCCTCTCTAGCTCTCTCCCTTTACTCATATGTATTTATAAAAGTCAGTTCTTGTTTCATTTACAGACACCATCAGAATGGATCTTAATGTGTCATTTCACATTTCAAACTCTCCTGAATGTTGCACCAAGTAAAAAATTGTCACTAAGGTCCAGGTGTATTCTCTTGTCATCTGTCACTAGTAACTGTTCTGCAGTTTATAGCTGGCAGTTCTCAGCAGTGTTTCATCAGGATAACACTAAACTATATCATCTGAAGGAATAAACTTTCCCTGCTGACATGAGCTGGGGCGAAGGCGTTGGCAATTGGCTGTATATTATAGAAGCTTTCTGAAGCTTATTCAATGGAAAAGAGACTATCAGGTCATTGGGCCCAAATTGTATGTTTGGCTTCAAAAGAAGTAAGGGGCTTACAAAACCTAACAGGAATCAAAAGGCTTTGGTCCGTGAGACAGGAGGTCAGGCAAGGCAATCCCTTCTGTCTCTGAAATCTCTGACTGAAATGCTTTAATTAGAAAGAAAGAAAGAAAAAAAAGGAATATAAAAACATGCATTTTTTTGGCAGTAGATGGGTGTTTCAGGTCCACCTCTAACGCTACAAAGTCAGGATGACAGCAAGCTGATTCAATAACTGGGCTGGCATCTTCATCCCTTTTGTTCTTGGAGCACCTTCTCCAGGGATGGAACCACTAGTGGCTGGAAAGGCACATGAGCAATAGGGTGCAGAGCCACCACTACCCTAGGACTGGTGGCAACAGCACACAAAGACGTCACAAGACCTTGTCTCCCCCGGGCAGCCAGAAAGGGATGAGGTCAGTAATCAGAACACAGGGGAATGCTGAGAAACAGTGAGTTTCACCTACAGCAGAAGATCACACAGGGAAACAGGTTGCTACAAGCCTTCGAGGGTACTTAGAGTGACATGAAGGAGACGGCTGTGTTAAGGGCTTGATGCAGCCATTCCTGTTTGCATCTTGGGTGGAAACCAAAACTGGGCGAGTCCATAACTCTTTGGGCTTTATGGAGCAGTGAACTGTGGGCAGGTTGGCTGTTTTGCCGAATCCTCCTGAAACTGTGCGAGCGAGGCAGTCTGACAACGAAGTGTGTGAGAGACAGTGGGAAAGGGGGGGAGGTCACAGGGGAGTCTGAACAGGGTTACACCAGGCTGAACTCTGGAGAAATCTGTAGCTTTATTTGAAGTATACCTTGCTGCACTCCCTCTGCCCCAGGCCTGCTAAGATCTATGGGAGAATGGGCACCAGGAGAGGAAGGCGGGGAGGTGGTACCTGCACCAAGTCATTTGGGGGGTTGCAGAGCTGTGTGAAAGGCCTGACAGCTTCTCTCCTTTCCTCCTGCAGCTCACCCGGGTACCAGTGGAGTCGTGTAGCCAGTATGAGACCTGCAGTGAGTGCTTGGGCTCAGGTGACCCTCACTGCGGATGGTGTGTGCTTCACAACATGTAAGTACCTAGTGGTGTTTGTCACTGTCCCAGCCCTGCTTCCCCCTGAGCTGAGTTCCCTCGCTGGCTGCTGTAACGCATGGTAGAGCTGTAAAGGCATGTCTCAGGAAGCACTTTCTGGACAGCAAAGGTAGTAGAGACTTGTAGGATGTCAAGCATCTGATCCAGTTTGTTGACTTCACCAGGAAAGCATGTGTCACACTGATGTGGTTTGAATCAAACCCTCCTGCAGTTCCTCTTCACGGGAGAAATACGTCCCGGTTTCCTTTGGTTGATGCAGTTTCAGCCTGACTAAAAGCCAAGCTCAGAGAAGCGTCTCAACAGCCACAACTTTCTACTATAGGCCTGAATCTCTCCTCTTTCACACTTGTTTTGTTTTCCATTGCCCTGTGAGGGGGATCAGCACCCAGGTCCCCACCAAGGTAAACATCAAGAGGTCCAGTCCAAGATATATTTCAAGGGCATCTCATGACCTGTTATCTCACTATGGGAAGATGGTAACCCTGAAAATGAGTATTAGTCATCTCTGGGTGGACTCAATTGTGCTAGCACTGCTCATTTGGCTTATCTGGTCAAGATCCTGAGCAAAGCTGAATGTATCCACACCACTGGGTTTCTGCATAACAGGCCAAGAAGGGACCTTATTCCACCAGGAAGGTGGTCTTGAGGGGGTCCTGCTCTACAACACTGCCCTATCCAGGAACTCTGCAGGAGCTTCAGTCGAGGTGTCCCCAGAACTGTGAGATTAGTATGCTGCCGTTGTCTGGCCCTGGCATTTTTATGATGACTTTGATCTTGAAGTTTCCTCCCTGCAGCCCTCGCTGCTAGTGATCTCTGTCTGCAGAGATCCCTCAGCCACAGCTTTGGAGAGGGAGGTGTCAGGTTGGCTGAGCTCCTGGCTGCGAGTGGCAAGGTGATCTCAGTTGCCAAGAACCTCTCAGCAGAGACACTGGCTGGAAAGTGCATAGGATCTGTCTAACCGAATGTCTCCAGCTGAGTGTGACTCTGCAGGGTGCTGTCATTCCAAATCTCTGTGTTCTTGACAGCCATAGATGGTTATTCTGATGGACCCTGCTATTGCAGCTGTCTGTCTTTTCCCATGGAGTTCACCTCTGAAATTCTTCCTGATTTGCTGCAAGTTGTCCCTGTGGAGACAGTGAACCAACTGCAGCCATCCCCATTAGTACCTATTCTTTCTATAACAGAACAGGGAACAAACTTGTTCCATATCCCAACCCTTTCTGCAGATGTGGCAGCTCTTTAGACTGTGTGAACCTCAACCGATACCATAATGGTCTACTTAATATCAGATCAGACTTAGGTGACTCAGCCCAGTTTGTGAAAAAACTTGACTCAGGGTCTGGAATTGTTCAAGTGATCCTTGGCAAACCAAGCCTGAGCTGTGGTCTTGTAGACATGAACCTGTGCAACTTTTGTCCTCAGCCCTGCTGACCTGAGGATATTTTCATTTGAAACATGACTCCTATACTTTTCCATCTCATCTCGTCCTGCATCCGTCCCACAGAGCGCTTTATGTTTTGCTGTCAATGAACAGGCAGCACACACTGTATGAAAGGAGTGTAGGCAAGCATGATGTTGGCTGTTGATTGAACCGTAGAAGTTCTAGATATTTCATCTCCTGCCATCCAGGGTCAATGGCAACAAGCAGTCAATGTACCTAGCAATAAATGCCCGAAAGGAGAGGAAAGGGGCAGAGACAACTGCAGATTGCCCGGCAGCTCATTGTGAAAAAGTGAAAGAAATGTGATGGCTGGTGACAAGCCATCCTGACTAGAAAAAGAATACTACATTCACTCTGTCCTTCCAGGGAAGTTGGGCCTCACGCTCCAAATCTGAGGGACAGCAGGATCCCCAAGTCCTCTTTCTTAAAGTCTCTTAACCTCTGTTTCCTCATCTGTAAAACAGACGTAACTCTTATTTATGCACCCAGGGTCAATGGAATTTATTTTTTGTGGATTTTTGAAGCAGCTGGAAGGCAAATGTTATAAAATCCCACTCCAAAGTCTTTCCACTCCTCCTGCTTTCCATTGCAGTCAAGAAATCTGGTTTCCAGGCTTGTTTTGGAAGGAGATTTCAGTGCAGGCTCACTTGTTCCTCTCTGGGCCTCAGTTTCTTCATCCTCCAAGACAGACCTGAAAGCAGAGGAGCCAATTGGATGCCATTCAGTAGGGTTTAGCTATGCAGAATATTCAGGGTAGCGGTGCTATAATGCCAAGGGCCTTACTGCCATTAGACATCAGAACCCCTTACTATCCATTAACAAACTTTTCCTCGAGTTCGATGCTTTGTCAATAACTCCTGCACAAAGATCTCGAGGAAGTATGTCATAGCCATTTCCTTCATGGGCGCTAACCTTTCTCTCTTCCCTCCCAGTGAAGAGTCTCGGTGACTTTACAGTGTACGGCTGAATCCAGCCATGCTGTCATAGTAGTTGTTTTAGGGAAGGGATAGAGGGGGCAGATGGACTATCCAAGACCCGGCCTGGTAGAGCAGGACCGGAACCCAGATCTCCTGTGGGCAAAGCCATCCCTTTCGCTTATCCTTTCCCTCCAGTACAAGCCACCAAACTGGACACTGGTCACCTGGGAAATAGGTGGAAGGTGCCAGATGTCTTCCTGATGGCTACAGAATTCGCCTTTTTGTCTCTCTTGCACTGGTCACTCCTTTACTGGGATTCACAGTTCCAGGGCTGACACTGGCCCTTCTCCCCAGACCCCCGTTTTTGAGCTGTCCCGGTCTCCTGCCACACGAGAGGGCTGAGAGCTAGTGTGACGGTGCCTGGGGACGGCTTTGCATCCAGCGTCTCACAGCTGAGCTGGACTGTCTGTAGCGGGGGCGGTGTGCCAGGACTCAGGAATCGATTTCCATGGCTCCGATGTCCTAACCTTACACCGAGAAACACAATTCCGCTGAGAGAGAAAGAGACAGGCAGACCCACAGACAGCTGCAGAAGAAAGGAGTGGGGGGACTGATTGGCTCCTGCCAGGAGAAGCGGAGAGCAGATATGGAGCAGGTCACTGGAGCTTTTCATCGCTGTATCTCTAGCCCCGATCTTTCCCCCCCTCCCCTTCCCTGCTATAGCTCAGCTCCCCTCCTGGGCTGCGTTCAGGCCTCTTTAGACTGCGATGAATCATTTAGTTGGTGTAAATTGAAAATGTGGCGCTCGGTTGCTGCATGGGTCTCCAGGGAAGCCAGGGGCTGAGGTGGGAGCTGGGGGGAGGAAGCAGGCTGAAAAGCTAATAGCTGGCATGGAGACACTCGGTGCCTGGGAGAGAAGGCAGCTGGAGCAGCAAGGCCAGTCACAAGGTCACAGCAACGTCATGGGTTTGAACCGGAGGCTGCTGGGGGGGATGAAAGTCTCGGGGCTGTGCTCGACACCCCAGCTACCTGCAGAAAGGATATTTGGGGCAGAATAGCAGCAGCTTCCCCTACAGGGAGAGGTAATGCTTTATAACAGTGAGTTGCACTGACCTCGCTGGGTGCAGAAGGTGTGTTGACCTGCCCCAGTCTCTGTCACGTTGGCTGCTACTCCTAGTTTGTGCATGTGCTGCCTCATTTCACCTCCATGTAGCCTCTCTAATTCTGGGATGAAAACCTGAAGAACAAGCACAAGCTGTCCTTAAGGGATGATTCAGCCACTGGCCTCCTTCTGGTCAAGGATCTACCCCTGCTGTTAGTGCAACTCGTTGGCCATGAGATCATTAGCTACAGCCGGAGAGGAAAATGGTCTCCATTTCAGGGAGGATTTATGATATTTCACAATTTTTTTCCCAGCTTGAAGTGGGACTTTTTTTTTTTTTTTTAATATGAAAATTCCTTTCAAAGAAGGTGCTAGCACAGCTGCCACAGTTTAGCAATTCCAGAATGATTCATTTAGACCGCAGTAGTTCTTACTTGGGAATTGTCTTTTAGCTTTTAGCAAACTGCTTAAAATTTCAAAACAAAAAGTCATTCCAACGTGAAGCACTGCTTGCTTTGTCTTTTTGCTTCAGACACATTAAAACGAAACATTTGGGCATTGCGGTTCCCCTCCTCCCTCCCCCCCACCAGAAGTCTTTACCCGCCCTAGAGACTCAGGGCTAAGCAAGCCCTCAGCAAACACTTCTGATTTGGAGGAACTGACATTTGCAGAGCAGGGAAACAAGGGTTTTGTTGAAGCATCTCTGCTCAGTCCTGCCGTGGAGGTAGCAGAGCCAGGGCACTGGATCTGCTCTCTGCACTCCTCTACTTGTCTGTGCAGGACCGCACACATCCTTTGTGACCCTTCCAGCAGTACCAGCCACCCTCCAGGACCCCTTTGGTCGAAGGATGGCCAAGATCTGTTATCCACAATTTCTCAGGCTGGGCTGGCCACATATTGTCTGTAAATTTGCTGCAGAGGAGAGGGTGTTTATGAGACATCAGAAAAGCCATATAAAGGCTTTTCTGGAAAAAGACATGTACCCTGGGGTATCTGGGCAGTTGCTCTCCACCTCCTTCTGCCTTGTGGCTGCAGGACACTCCAGCATCCACAAGTTAAAATCCTCGTTTCTAACACAATATGGAGTGAAACAACACTTAAACAAGTTGTTTTCTAGGGAGTGAGAGATTAGCTTGAAGGAGGAGGGAGGGGTTTTGTTAGCCTTTCTCAGACTCTGTCAGACCAGCAGGAAAAAAAAAAAAAAGAAAAAGTAACAAAGTGCAGCTCCTGCTGTCTCGGCTCAGCAGGTAACCTGATGCGATGGTGCTTGCAGAGTCTCATTGATCGTCTCTGGCTTTAACTTTCTTGGTCAAAGTCTTCTGAACCACTAGAGAGTGTCGGGTAACCTAAGCTGCCTACAGATTCTGCAATAAGACCTTTTTTGAAGGGTCTTTTGCTAGCTTGACTTTTTGTCTGATGAAGGACTGAGACTGTCTTTCAGGCTGAGTTTGTCTCTTTATTTCTCGCTTCCCCTTCTCTCTCAAGAAGATATCTCAAATTTGGAATGAGGAAGGGGTGC